CTGCATCCTGGAGGGGAAGTTGCAGCTGTTGGCGGAGGCCTGTCTTGACGAGGTGCAACTAAATGATGAGATCACGTTCGCTTTCATCGTAACGTCACTTTAACTGCATACACTTACCACTCGTCAACAAGCCCAAAAGAGTGACATAGTTGGCCATGTTCACTCGACTGGTGGATGGTTGTCCATCCCCAGAAGCTGAAGTTGAATAGTTAATTAAAGAACAGCACATTTCAACTCAAAAGCTTACATGTGCCCAATGCGGCCGTGTCAGAATAGCCCTGAGGAGGGCTGTTGGGTTGAGAAGTAGGATGCGTAGGATTCGTAGGCATTGTCTTAGACAACTGATGTGGTCTGGTACTACATTCTGTCTTCCTTGTAACCCAGAAATGTTTCGATATCCTAGAGGCTCAAAAACGTTCGCTTGCCGTGAAGTCGCCAAACGCCTGGGGACCTCACGCTATGGTTGGGCCTCCTTCGGGGTCACATATCTGGCGAATGATGCCAAAAAAATAATCGGTTGAATGGCATCAGTCATGGCTATTTAAAGGCAGTTGGAATGTGTACACATATATCCATGCAGCATCACGACCGCTTCATACCAATGCCTTCGCTTCATAATTTGCTTAGCAAATGAATCAATTAGAGCGTCTGGAACAGTCGTCCATTTGTGGGCGGGCGGGCAAGGGGGCGTTTGGGACGTAAAGTTGTGGCTTGATAGCGCCCTTATAAGGGCTTCTTCCCTGGAAAAGGCATTATGCAGCGCCTGCTCAGGGTCGCGGAATTCCGTCCTGCCAGGCGTATTAGTCCTGCTCGTCTTGGAGGATTTATCGTGCCAACTGCCTCTAATCAAAAGTGTAGCGAAAGAAAAACGCATATCGTGCGTCCATAGTTCTATGAAACCATCCACGTTGCATCTTCTGTTGTAACTGTGTAATAATCTTTTGTGCCAATAAAATTCAATTCGCGACCAATTTATTATGGAGATCAAAGTACATGGAAACACTCTCATTCATCAGGAGTATTCGGACTCATGAAAAAAAAATGGCTGTCTTCCTTGACGAGTACTCCATCAGGGGCGAGAATTCCCATCGACGAGCCCATCTCAGCGTTTGCACGGCTGACGAAGAAAAACTGAAACACACAAAAGCTTAGAAGCTTACATTCAAATGAACTTCGTCTCAAACAAACCTGTTCATTCAACCAGTAACCAGTGCAAAAGTAAAATATGAACATCAGGCGAGGTGCTGTAAGAAAACAGCAATTATTCTCCGTAGCATGACCAAGAAAAATGACTAATTGGTTTTCTTCTTCTCATTACGCGCGATATTACCTAGCTTGCCTTCAAGAGCGCAGGTGCCCCGAAACAATGGTTGCTAAAGGCCAATGACAACGAAATGCGCGCAAGCTGGATGCGAAGGTGGGCGCTGCTTGGTTGGACGACGCATGGGAAGAAAAAGAACTATTTTACCCTCGTGACCTTGTTTCGGTTATTTCCATATTGAAAATGATGGTATCTAGGAAGCCTGCACACAAGCCCCGTCCACCTTCACTTCCACTAGGGGAAGTTAATAAACTTGAACAGATGCATAATAGATATCGGGGGTTCAGTAGAAAAGAAACTAACTTGACATTTCCGCTTTATAGCTATATTCAATGAAAGCATAACCACGTGGCTTCCCGCTGAGATCGTGGATCATGTCCAGCTTAAAAAGTAGTAATTCAAACTGCTTTGCTTCACTTTGCCTTCGTTGAGAGTGAAGGAATAAAGATATAAAGAGCAAAGAAAGTTCCAATTTACCTTTTTTTATTTTCCCATAAGTTTCAAATTCTCACTTCAGCTTATTCTCCGAGGTTTCGTAATTCTGAGAAAGTGGGAATTAAACATATGGCTAAATGAAACAGCGCTGAAACTGACTTAGCAACGAAGAGAGCCTTATACGGGTCCTCGGTAGCATTTGGATTTTCAGCAGGATTCCATTGCGCAATACCTTGTCACCTGAACAAGTGCGACTCCACAAAGTAGATATAACGGCACTAGGCAATCCTTTATTAGTTAGATGTGTTCATACTTCAGGTTTCGTCGTTGAGATCGCAGATTTGAACAACAGCGACTGAGATGCCGTTGCACCTGCCCACTTTCACACTCGATTCTTACTCCTCTTCTCTTCTCTGATATCGTAAAGTACGAACGCAGCTGCACTTATACGTCACGATACAGCTCAAAAGAAGAGCACGTTACCCGATAGATTCCCAAGTTTTTTTGGCGCACAATATCCAGCTCTCCCACCCATTTGCATAAACCCAGTTCATCGTCCAAACTGCTATAAAGGCGCCACAGTCGCAACTGTTCGAACTGAGCGATTTGAGCAATCAGTGTAGAAGTACGAAGGCACTCTATGCCAAGGAAAAGAGTAAAACAGTAACAATCGGTAATCGACAGGAGTTCCACCAGTACCTTGTATGCCAGAAGCTCTTCCTTCTCTCGTCTGCGCCTTTCTTTCTTCTCTTTTGTTTCGATGATCGGTTTGGGAGGAGTATCTTTTGGGTCCTGTAAACGTATACAATAACGTGTACGTGAATATACATGTATAACATACGTGCATTACAATAAAATCATTACGAGCCAGCATCAAAAAAAATCGAAGTGTTCCAACAGCACATTTATTCTCCCGACTGAAGTTAAATTTCAAAAAGCGAGTTTCAAATGAGTCATTACCATCTAAAGTCTATAAGTCATTACCATTTAAAGTCTAAGCGGGACCATTTCGTAACTGAGGAGGAGAGGAGCTTCCTTTCTTTCCGCACCACCTTTCGAAATAATATCAACAAACAACAAACCGCGTTCCGTTCCCCGGGAAGGCGTTTCGAAGCGAGAACAGGAAACGGAAGGAGGAGAGGCGTCGACAATATTTGCATAATCTAACCGGGGACACCATCGTGATAAAATACTGAAAATGAAAATTACCGTAGAAAGACCTCGTCACTACTCTACCCCACCTCTCAAGAAAAAAAAAGACTAAAAAAGCAGATGATTTTGAGTAGGATACCCGAACTTTAATTGTTCGTAAATTGAGAACACATATAAGGTGAATATAAGATGATTGGGAAAAGGAAACATGAATGAAAGCCCAGCAAGTTATAGAGTGGACGGATGCGAAACGAATGCTCGGATGCAAATCGCCGCGCACACGGGAAAATCGCCGCGCGCCCCGCCCCTCCGCTGCCGCGCCGCGGCGAAGGCTGACCTCTCGTGGAGTCCTAACCTACACCCAAAAAGGATACTATCACTTTATTAAGATGGCATTCCGATAAGAAATGCGACGCATACACAGGAATGGCTGCT